GTAAAAGTCATGCCCATTCAGATTAGTTACTATTCTTTGTCCAATGCGAATAGGAAACACTTTTTCATTATCAGAAGACTGCCACCAATAATGTGAGAATAGTCCATAATGTAATTCACTTATTAAAGCACCTTTATTTAAAAGAGTAACAGGAATAAAATGCATTTTTGACATTAGGAAATGAATTTAATATTGGTTCTTTTGAGATTTTAAATTTTTATTAAAATTTATATTTATCTTAACCCAAAATTTTTTATTAATTTTTGGAAATTTTCTGCCGATTATAAAAGGATCGGCAATTGATGTGTACACGTCGATCACACAAACTTTTTTTTTCCTTTTAAAAATTTAAAAAATGTCCAACAGATTAAAAAATATGCGAAAAAGAACCAGAGAAACTGAGAGACGAGAAGAAAATGAGTAAGTGTTTTAAGGATGGTGGTGGTGGTTATCGCCCACCACTTGTCATTACTCTATGACATATTAGAAGTGTATATGAGGTAATTACATTGCTTTATTATTATTGATAGTAAAAATTTGTTACATTAGTTTATTTTTTAAAAAATCCATTTAAGGAGAATTATGGTGATACAGAAGAGGAAGAAGAGGAAGAAGAAGAGATGGTGATGGCGGGTAACAGTGATGAAGACAGTGATGAAGAGGAAGATGAGGAAGATGAGGGTGAGGGTGAGGAGGGTGAAGAGGAATGGAAGTAGAAGTGGAGGTGGAGAATGTTGGAAATGAGGGGTGGATGGAGTTGTAGAAACTGAGGTGTTATATGAGGATGAATACAATGGAATTGTTGATATGGGGGAGGTGTGGAAAGGGAGTAGGTCAGTTTGGGGTTTAGCAGAGCAGGATATTTTGATTAATCATTTGATTCGTAAAAAAATTAATTGCAAGAAGTTGAGGGAGGTGGAGGGGTTGATGAGAACTAATCAGGCAATGTCCCTGAAAGCAAAACAGCTTAGAAAAAAATTTTGGAGGGTTTTATACCCCCTTTATCCATTTTAAAGAAAAGAAGTAAAGAATTTACCAAATTTTTTGAAGTCACTTCTATTTAAATTGCTCCGATAATCTAAACTTTTATTTTAACCAAGCAGATACTCATTACCAGTAAGCCTCAGATTTTTGAAGTTGCCTGTTTATGATAAATCAATTATAAGCATCATTTGTACTGTGAGATAGTAAAACATGGGTCGTTGCTGGATGAGGGGTGAAATTCTCCAAAATTTCAATCATTGAGATATCACCACTGTTTTGGCACACAATGCAAAAAAGCTCAAAAATTAAAAATTAAAAAATGACCTCCCTGGTCCTAGTTCCAAATCAAATTTTTTTTTAAAATTAATAAATACTTTACTAAGACCACTAAGACCAAATATATAAAGTATATCAAGAGAGTAGTAAAAATGCCAAAATCGATAAAATCCTTGTTCCTAAACCCGGACTTGGTACTATAGAAGTGGTTCCAGTTGAGGTATCCAAAAATTTCAGAAAATACTACAAAATATATATCAAAAAAACGCAATTGAATTAACCCACATTATAGGTATCATACAAAAAAATATATTTGAATAATTAACCAAAGAATTAAACAAATCCAGGTACAAAGTATTACTTGTCCAAGACCAATCTATACTGGAAATGAATAAAATATTTAGAATAAAATCACCTCCAGTATTTCATTGTCATTAAGTTTAGTAAGTTTAATCTTTTGACAAATATTGTTATCTTTTCTACTTTTAAAATAAAAAAAATACTAAAATAATTTATATACTTAATATACCTCATAAAATAAAAAGGATATAAGTATATTTTACAGTTACTGGAAAAAGTATCGCTTCACCTGATGATTGGCGAAAATAATTGAATAACTCCTGTGATATAAAAAGTCATTATTTTACTAATTAAGTTGATGTTGTGTAATAACAAAAAAATCTTTTTCATAATGAATTCTATAACATACTCAAGTTCCACGAGATTCAATTAATTATTGGTAATTTTATAATCTTTAAAAGACAAAAAAAAAATTTCTGGAAAATTTCCAAAAAACTTTAGATTAGAGCCAACTTTAGATGTCATGTTTTAACACATTTTGGGAGCTTAGTAAATGTTGTT